CTCAATGTAAATTCAATAACAGCAGCTGCTATATTTTCATTTCAAACATTTTTCCAACAAAAAAAAAAATTATCTCCAAAAACTGTAATTTATTTAATTTATATACACTGTACATAGACAACTAGAAATAATATCATGCCCATCGCGCCCATAAGAATAAAAATATGAGAGATAATAGTATGTGTAGGCACGACATACAGCTATCGTGCATCCTCATCTTCAGATTCCCCTAAACACCCACCACCATCAGTAAGCTCCCTCGCATCATAAATCTCAGGGTGCTCTTATAAACGCCTGTAGGAAATCCCTTGGCTTCATATTGAGCGATATTTCCCTCACTCTGGAAAACTGAAAGAAAAAAAGATGGTGCACAGCAGCCGTTTAAGAGCTTTGCTACGGTTTTCACGAGTTATGAAACACGATTTTTCCACTTTCCCCTCTATCTTTTCACACGACAATCACATTTGGAATATAATAACAATCTCCTGCAGTCATCCATGACTGTAATTACTATCAACAAGCTGTATTTGATTGAAAAAAAAATATTTTAAGTAAAATACATTGAAAAGCTGTACCATATGTTGTAAAAATCTACTCTCAATGCCATCTAACGACCGCGTTACTGTACTAAACGAAACAAACACACGCTGCGAAAGGAAAACAACAAAAACTTGAAACGAATGAACGGAGATTTTTTTTCTTCTTATTTCCTTCATGGCAAAAAAGAAATTGATGAAAGTTCTTAGAATTAAAACTATATCAGGATTGAAATAAATCGATACTCTCCAATTAGAAGACAAAATTAACATCATTATTGTAGACTTCTCATTAAAGATAATTACTTCACTTTTCCATCAAATTATTACATTATTCCTAAGTTGTAAATAAAAAGCGATGGTAATTTAATATTTGAGATAATATTTCTTGATAAGTAAATTGCATTCTACAGTGTAAACAATGAAAAAAAAAAGAAAATAATTGAAATTCTTTCTATCATCGCTTAATATCGTTATCGGTTTATTTTTCGTATTAATCATGAAATACTTTCGATTTTTCAATTTTCCTCGTCTCATCTGCTTCATCAATGTTCATAAAATATTTACTTTACTCTTCAGACTTTGTATTCATAGGAAAAAAATTTTAATAAAAGTTTGAAAGAGAAAAATAAAGGTGACGAATAAATTGTACAACGAGTCTTGCAAGCTCTTGGGTGAGTTCGATTTTTATTATTCTTCCCGTTGGTTTCAACAGCTTCTCTGTCTTTTTTTTTTCTTTCATCAAAGACTTTTCCACTGTGACGTAATCAAGCAAAAGAATGAAAAAATAAGAATAAAAGCTCGCAACTAGTTTCTCTGTACAAATAAGGTTTTGATGCTCTTCTGGCTTAAGATACTCGTTTCGATTTTCATCTTAGGTAAAATAAAGAACGTAAGAAAGTCTTGATCGCTGTGGCATCCGATGAAACTAAAGTTTCAGTCGGGATTAAAAAACTCCGCGGATTATGGTCAGCTTCGATTCTGTAGAAGAAACTCAAGACAGATCCTATTACTCTAACAACTTTTTAGTCGTACATTTGAGAAGAAGAAGGAAAAAAAAAACAAAGTGACAAAGAAAAAAGTACAGAAAATTCCTAGGATATAATAAGTTAAACAATCTTATCAAAAGTTTTTTTTATCGTCATTCCCTTTCTCTTAACAATGTCAACATTGGATCAATTTTACCTCAGAACTCCTATCGCTCTTTGACCTTTGAAATAATTATTATCTTCCCAAAAGTAATTTGCGTGCCAATGGTTCACGATCAGTGACATGAAAATACAATGATTCATTTCTTACGACGTCAATGACCTTTTAGTAACGTTGTTTGTAGAAGCTTGAAAAGCTAACTGACACACTTTGCTCATCATCCCGTCAAAGAATCACAAGAGTTACTTCTTACGTGGTAAATGTCAATTCTAAATGCCAATACTAAATTCATTGATGTTAAACATACTTCATGATAAAAGATAAAATTAAAAAAAAAACCTTAATAAACATTTCAAAGTTGTCATGTAAATTAAATTCTCAAAGACTTCAATCAAAAAGGAGACATTTTAATTCAATACAAATTAGCCTTCTAAATGATTCATCAAGTGTTGACTAAAAAATAATTTATTTGATAAATACCACACTGAAGGAGATAAAAACTCACCATAAAACCTCTTGTCGTATAATTTACCCATTACTGACATTAATAGTGAAATTAATAATGAATGAAAAAAGTAAGTTAATTAAAATACTGAATGAAGGGAAGAAAAACGTTTTTGATATATTTGATGACAAAGCATTTCTCAATTTCACACTCATCCCATACAAATCAACTTCTGTATTTCCTCATCTTGGCTCTCGGTAACAGAACAGCCTCTTGACACTCGATTAACCCTCCTACTCAATCGACTAATATTTACCCTGAGCGTATACCACGTCAAGGGTCTTCCTCAGTTACTTCGTGCCTTCATTATGCAATCCTAGAGAGCTATTCTGTCTCACTTACACACCCTCATACTTGTGCCCTTAAACAACGACAAGTGTTGGTATCTACATTCAAGTATTATAGAACAAGCCTTCATCACTTGTTTTTTTTCTTTGTATTTTATGTTTTTTTTTCTTCAGTCTATATACAAATCATTACCCTCCTATGATTAAATACGACCAAGTGTTGTTAGATTTTGTCATATTTTTTTACGGATCTTTTTTCCCTCAACATTAAAGCTCATATTTTTTTAATATATTAGGTAATGTAGTTTTGATGTGCTATTTATTTTTAGTAGAATTAGTTAGTTGTAATAAATGGTGTTCACATGATAGTAAATATTTTTAATAAACATTGAAAGTAATATTCACGTTTTTATAAATTACTAATCAGTCCAGGGAATGTTTATTGATAAAAGCTACTTGCTGACGTATATCTGTAGGTTGATATTATACTCATCAACATCAAAGGACGGTATTTCTAATACAAATCATAAATTGTCAGGTCAATGCTCGGTCTCTCCCTTAAGGTTTCTCATGATATTCCTTTGATTCCTGTGGATTCTAAAGCAATTACACCCAAACCCAGCGGCAAACCGAATCTCATTAGTGTAGATCGATCAATTTCCGTTTGAGAATCCATCAATAGAATGAGAAATGCATCAAGATATGTACTCAAATATATTCTCAGTACCTCGTCTAAATCCTATTCTCTTTTATTTATTATTATTCCATCTAACTTCTCTTTCCTCAACAACTGTATGTAAGTTTAATTGAAGTCCAGCAAAAAAATTAATGAGAAAACGAGAAGAACATAAATTCATCAATATATATTATCCCACCTCAAGTGGAAAGAAAAATGGGAAATTTAAATTTAATATTAATGAAGTAGTTTAATTAGTTTTTATCGAGGAAACTTAACGATGAAGAATAGGTAAGCAGAAAATTGCAAAGATATTATTCAAAATATACTTTTTATAAGATCACTTAATTAATTTTTAATCAATACGACATCCAATCATCTTCAAAGTTACTTCTACAGACGAGAGAAAATTAAAAAACTCTTACAGAACAATCACTTTATGAACAATGTTCATGAATGTAAAAATAATTACCTAAAAGAATGTGAAAAAGTTTTTAACTACAAGTCTAGTTGAATAACGGGCTATTTGTTATCATCATGATCGTTAATTACACTAATAATTTTCGTTGTGGCTTGACTTCAAAAGGGGCTTGAACATATGGGCATATTATATCCCTAGTAACTGTGGTAATTTATCGCTAGCTTCATCGAATTTGGCACAGCCTCTAGCTTCGACTTTTCTTACCCTCATTTACTGTTTTACTTTATGAAACATTTTGCTAAACACCATCAATTTCATCACTTGTAAACAAATTCATTATCAGCAAATATCTTGATTTACGAGTAATACATTGTTTAATTATTGTGATAATTTAATTAAAGCTTGTATATTTGTGGTTGCTAAATCATTTGTATTAATTGGAAATTCTCTACTTAATTTACCTAAATTGAACTAATTTTTTCTCTTGATTTTAATTAAAACTTTTTTCAGTTTTTTCTTTCTATCCAATGGATTGAATAAAATATAATGTTAAAAAGTTCTTCGAAGCAGATTGACTTTAAATATTTAAAATTATTCAATGCATGGAATGAAATTCAAAGGTAAAAGTGTATAACGAAAATAGCAAAAATTAAGTAGTAAAAAGAGGATGATATAAATATATATTCAAGACTCAGTGGAATTTAAGTAAAAGTAGCTCCATTTATCGATCAAAATAAGCGTTTCTACTTCTACTTAATGTGGTAGTTAAGAAGCTTATTTTATGATGCTCTTCATCAGTAGATGTAACTTACATGACTCTAGACTTTTATCTCTTTCAAACTGAATCTACCTGTAACTTACAAATAAATGCACAATTAAAAGAAGCAATCTAAAAATTGTTTTTATATCTGAGACTAGTCTACTACATCTGGGATTCTTTTATTGAACTAATAACAGTTACTTTACTCAATAAAAATGGTCTACAAGGAATTTTATGCTTCTAACAGAAAACTATTCTCTAAAAAAAATTGATTATATTTGATGTTTTACAAGATGAATCATTTTTAAAAATTAATGATTTTAATAAAAAACATTTTATTGAATTTTTTTTTATAACTGATGAGGTTTCGTTTATATATTTAGTGTAAAAAGTTAATAAAAATGGAAAATTAAGATGGTAAAAGTATTTTGAAGAGAACAAAATTTATGATTAACAATACTTTAATTGAGACTATTCAGTTAATTGGAGCTATAAAAAAATGGATTAAAGAAATTTAAATTTCTTAGATTATAATGAAATAGCTGGTTCACAAACATTATTCAGTAAGCCTGAATTATTGATCATTTAATTAAGTAGATTTAACTTTATCAACAATTAAAGCTTGAATATCTTTAATAACAAAGACATTTTTCATTATTGTTACAGTGCTGCAGGCGGTAGCATGTTGGGTGACGTCAATATTTCAGCAATTTTAGATTCATTTTCAGTTAGTTATGATAAAAGAGTAAGGCCAAATTACGGAGGTGAGTAATTAGAAGATCATTTTTTCTATCCCATTGCAAGAATGCCATCAACTTGTCCAATTCAGCATCACTGGAATTCTTTTCTACAATCTAAATATTGAATAACTTTCAATCAAGCTAAAAAAATTTTTTTCATCATAAAATAAATCAACAAAATAAAATTGAAAGAGTTTCAATGATGCTTTATTTGCCCTAACATTAAGTACTTAATAATATCAATAACAACATCAATATTGCATTGAATTCAATTGCTAATATTAAAAAAGAGAATCAAAATTTAATTGAATTAATTTTAATCATCTGAATCAAAATTTTATAGGCATACTCAATAGTAAAGTGGTCAACCTAAAGCTGAGATGACGTCATATAGAATAAATCCAAAATTTAATTACTCAATAAAAAAAACAATTTCAATGTCATTTGTTGATTGCGATCAAAAAGCAGACTAACCGAGATACTCTGAGCTGTGATGCCGTGTCGAGAATAAATAAATGATGCCAATTTCTACCGTCGCCATTCCGACATAAAGACTGTCTCTCTAGTGTCCTACTCACCGAGTTTTGAATCGTTCTGCTGCACATTATTTATTGATTCCTCTCTCTGGTGTATATAGATATATAGACGGCTTTTTTGCGATATTCTCTATATTTTATTTCTGTTCATCCGAGGTCGTAAAGCTCTCTCAACGGATCTTAAACGTTCGGATTCGGGGCAATCTTCTTTAAAACTTTACGAGACTCACAACTGGAAAAGTATAATATCCGAAAGAAAATAAATTTTACGAAAGGCGAAAATACAGAAATGAACAAACTACAAACGTCACTAGTATCTAAAAGAAAATCAGAAATAGTTGAAAATAATAAAAAATAGTATATGTACACATTCCGACGACTAAAAAGTGCCTGAGGAGATACTGCGGACGATGTTTTGTTGTGGTTTATGAACAAAATGTCCACGAATTGTCGACAATAGAACTAGGATTGTTTTAAAATCGCCTGCAACAATAAAGTATCATTCAAAAGAAGACTACTATTTTGCAATTTATTTTAAAAATTTCTTTTCCCTTATTTTTATTTACTTCTTTTTATATTATTTTTATCAGCAAGTGTCTTCCTGTGTTACAACCTCAACGGAGACGTCTTCCTGTCGGTTTCTATTGTCCAAACGGCAGAAAGAGAGGTCGATAGTGCAATCGTATCGGAATAAGACCGTCGTGGAGATCGAAGAGACTAAAGCAATGGTCCAATTGAACGCTCGATTGTCAAGAATTTTCTTTCTTTTTTATTTTTTACATTAGAGAGAAAATAAAGAAGGACAAATATATATATATATATATATATATCTGTGAAATGAAAGCCGGTGTTAAATATCTCATTGATGATATCTCACTATTTACTATCGATCGTTTTTATTTTTCCTTTCAAGATGGAATGCTCTACAACCTCATGATGATGATCAACGATTTGCAATTCCATTTATTCAAATCAGACTAATTACTTCTACTCAAGTTCTTATTAACTACCAAAATATTTACCCAGATGGTCTAACTAAATCAAAACATTTCCACTTTACCATCGTTTGCTTTAAATGATGCTAATTTGATTAAGAGATACTTCAATATTCACTTGAAGAGAACAAAATTAATCATTAATTGACATGTCAAGTTTTATTGAAGAAAAACTTGACAGATTACTTTTTGATATACATTCAACTCAAATGTATGAATAGCATTTACAGTGAAATGATGTATTGTTTAAAGTACTCGAGTGATAACAAAAAAGACTACTTGCAAAAATTCATAATTATTAATCAGCCAACAACGCTATGCAAAAGTTCACGTATCATCAAGGAAAATAATAATTTTTGCAGACTACTTTGTACATATTTGTACGCTACTTGAGCATGTAAAAGTTTATTCAAAATTATGTTAATTATACAGAAAAGAGATTTTGTATTCACAAAAAAGTATTTACTAAATTTGCATTTGTCAGTAATTAACCAGTCAACTTTTTAGTTGAGCAAATGCATGAATTATGATATACAAGAGGAGTTCATCACACAGCAAAGATAATTAATTTCAAAAAAGCTTTAGTAATAATTAAAAAAGTACTAGAGTTTTGTTTTTATTAATTAAATAAACTATCATTATTTTAATTGTTTTATCTAATAATCAAATATTTATTAAATGGAATAAAAGTTATTTAAATAGTGAAATGGTTTAAGATGTAACATGAAAATTATTTAAAGAATTAAAGTTACTGGAATATATTATAAGTGGAGGAAGTCAGTAATTAGTCAGACATTTCTCTGTTCAGATGAAGAACACTGTAAATTATTGTGGGAAAGTAAGCAAAAGTTTTCGAAAAGGATCATTTTTAGAACCTCACTACGCAAAGTCATTCAACTGGTCGACAGTGATTGTAGGAAAGTCAAATTTTCGGGACACCTCAGAGATCTAGGGCGGAGCTTTCAGTAAAACTCGGATCGATGTTGGGACATCGCCCTACTCGTTGCTATGGGTAACGTTAATAGCATCTCCTGGTCCTGGTCCAACCCTACAAATGTCCCGACTTGTAACTGCTACTTTATTCTTGTCTTCTCTTCCCGTCTATGTTTTTTTTCTTTACCTTCGGTGTGCGTTGATGGTTAAAAAAAATTTTATTTCAATAATTCATTTTCTTGTTTTATCAATATGCTGTTATTAAATGAAAGCTTTGAAAAAAGATTCGATACTCAAGTGTAAAATTGTTTTAATTAACGAAAATATTGTTTTATTTACAAATATTATTGGAAAGTTTTTAAATATTTTTTGTATGAATAATAAAAGCATTGGTATTATCACAATTTTTGTTAATTGAAGTTTTTCTAAACTTTTCTGAAGAAAATGATCTCGTCGTATGATAAAAAAATTTATGAAAAAGTATTTATAGTATGCTAATGAGTTGATCTTAACGAAATTGTCCATAAAATTTGAATTTCTTTTTAACAAACCTGACTTCCGACTTTTTTAAAATTTAGTTGAAAAATTCTGAAATCGAAAAAACTTTGTTGATGGTTGATTTATGAGAGTCGTTGGTGGTAGAGAATCATAGAAGTTATGATGATAAAATGATAAATGCAAATTGTGGTGAGAAAAAAAAAGTTTTACGATACTCTAGGATGTATGAGTTGGTGAATTGAGAAATATGAGCAGGTTACCAAGAGACTGAGGACCTTCTAGATCATTGACACCTTACTCATATAAGCTAGAGTCCCATGATGATCGTGAAGAAAGATGAGAGACTGTAATTTCCCTGAGCATCGATCAATTTTCTATGAAAAGTCCTCTCGACCCAGATACATACTATAAAATTTTGAAAAATCACGATCTCCATTTCTATTCACCATTTTTCCCCGTTACTTTGACTTTCGAATTCAATCGTAAATTTTCCGTTTTCTGGTCACGATCACCAAAGAATGATGATTACGACGAGTCGCCCCTTTATTCTTTTTTTTTTTATTTCATTTTTTTTTCTTTTCTTTATAGGACTTTTTTCTACTTCCCATCCTCAGATTTTGTTATCGTACTCTCTTTCAAATATCATTCTTTAGGACGTGACTCTTGCGACGGATTTCAGAAGTCAATCTAAGGATAAAGGATATTTTCTATAGCAACATTACTGTCATTCTTAAAAGGACTCAATGCTGGAAACGGAGGTCAAAAGTCTAATTTTGAACAAATAGCCAATCCTGATGAAGTAAATTACATCAAAGTAGATGAATGAAACAAACGAACGAAATTCATGTAGAATTTGTTAAATGAAAATTTAAGTAAAAAGGTCACAGAGTAAGTACACTATTCAAATTCAAGTGAATTTAATAGTAACCGATAAATAAAATACTTTTTTCCTTCTACCAACAGAATTTATTTCCAACAAAAAAGAGAACCATCTAGAAAATTAATTGAATTAAAAAAAAAAGAAAGTAAATAAGAAGCTCATGAATCGATATAAATACTGTAGTATACAAAAAAAAAGAAATAAAATAATTTTCATGCAAAATTGACCGAATATTTCAACAAGTAACAAACCATTGAGTACATTATTCAGTAATTGAAGATTTTAATCAGCTTAAAACATCAGAAAATAAAAAAAACCATCCACATTGATTCCATCAACTGTATTTTTCCTCAGTTCTCTTCTTCATTAGAAAATTATCGTCAGAATTTTCTTGACTTGTCATCTTTAATTCTGAAGATATAAAAGGCACACTTGACTTTCAATATTCTGTTTGATTAATTCGTTTTTTCCCATTCTTTTTTCATCGTCAATAGATCACAAAGTATAAAATCCAACAGAAAACGTGTAGAATTTCATGAGGACTATAATAAACATTGAATTCAGAGGATAAAAAAGACGACTTGATGATTCAAATAAATTGACGCATACGTAATATGTATGTAGATATATTGGAGCATCAGAAGATTCGATAGCGTATAAACTTCAATGCATGAATAAATAGCACAAGATCGAAACTTTCAATCTATACTACAAACTCGAGTAGACGAATATTATTGCGATACTGAAGAGTAAAACGGTATTCCTTCATCTATTTTATTCACTAAAAATTCCCTTCTTCAAATAAAAAATTTAATCAAATAATATTTACTAGAAAATGAGTCCATATGATTTATGTGCCCATAAAACTCACATGTTGAAATAAATTCCAGCTTTAAATGTACTTGAAATTAAACTAAAATTCTCTCAAGTTTATTCAATTAGAAAGGAATCATTTGATTTCGTGTAAATGTCTATTTTTGATATAATATTTGTTATATCATAAAAATAAAAAATTAATCCTGAATATCAACTAGTGTACCTTTCTCTCATGAAAAAAAATTAGTGGTTCAATTTTATAAGATGTTCCTATGTCATTGCACTCTTTACAAAGATCTTTTTCATAAAGTAGATATTGTTGTTTATTGTTTTAAATTTACTCTGCGCAACTAGCGTGTTTTATTAAAATATACTGAGCTCAAGACGAGTTTATACCTCAGTCAATAACATAGACATTACATTTTTTAATGAAAAAAAAGTTATACAGGTACCCTCAGCATTTTTTTTTTTTAATTCACAGAGATTGATCAATTGTACTTTACAAAGAAGTAAAAAATAGTTCATTGTTGAAAAAATTCTTTGAATGTTTCTAATGGATTCATAAAACATTTGTGAAGAAAGAAAAAAAATGGTTAAAAGAAGGTCAGATGTATAAATAATCACATAAAAATTATTTATATCCAGCACTAAAATAAATGAGGACAAGAAATGGATATGAATAAAAGAAAAATGAGAAAAATTAAACATGGTTTAAGTTGATTAGACAAATGATGAATCAATTGAAATTTAAATCCACTGGAATATGTTTCAATAACACAAAGGACAAATGGTAAACAGTGGGCAAAAATTAATCATTAACTAACATGCAGTTGCTACGAATATCAATCAGACTACAATGACCATACTGAACGCAGGAGCATATCACCACTCATCCGTTATAACCATACCAGAAGTACTGTGGACTCGCAATATCATGAAATACGAGTCCTCCGGGGAACATTTGTCATGTATAGGTTGAAGGATCGTGGACAAACGAGGAGGGAAAAGGGAAATGTATTGCTCCATAGTGAGAACCGTAAAGGTGTTAAGAGAGATGTTGTTTATGGTAAAAAGTTTGTCTACTCTCATATGCGCTCTTCACTATAACTTGCGTGTGTTTATGCTGTTCTTTTACGTTCCACATCCCAATAAATCATCGACGACGATTGATGTGATAAGGAGTAAAAAAATATTTTAGGGGCAGAGATATAAATCGAGCAAGTTTGGAAACAATTATTCTCTTTGATCAAACTGAATAAAAATAAATTAGTGATGACATTTTGAAGAATAGGAATAAATGAAAAGAAGAAACAATAACTCTGATGATAAACATTGAATAAATTTCCTTGTGAAAATACTATGCTTTTTCGTCAATGATTTTTGCTCTATATTCTATCTTTTATTGGATTTATTTTATTTTTAAAAATAAAACGTCAATAATATTCTACTTACTAACTTTAATGAAAATGGCAGCATAAAAAAACTATTTTCCTATTTCAATATTTATAAAATTGATAGAAAACTTTTTTTTAAAATAAAGCTATACTAAAGTTGAAATAAATGGTTTTTATTAGTATTATAAATGATGATGTTTTTTAGATCAACCTGAATTCGTTCTTGAGAGACAGTGATTGGTAATCACAAAGATATCTCGGTGTGTCTATTTGATACTAATCAAAATTTTCAAACGCATACTCACAAATGATTATAACAATATTTAATATTCATTAAATTTCACTAATTATTAAAATCCATCTCATATTATCGCTAGTAGAATTAATATGTACAATGTTACTTATTATACCAACTGACAGACTATTTCATACGACGAAATAGAAAACTCATTATCATTTTGACAGATTTATCGGGACGATTTTGAAATAAACTAGGTTAATCCATCATACATACAGATAAGTGAATTAATTTCAAATTCATTACACATTGTATAACTCACAATATTGTAAATGAATATCATATCTAACTACTAAACAATCATATCAGTTTCTATGAATAATTAGAATGAAAGAAAAAAAGAAAAAAAATTGATCAAAGATCAATGAAAGAATAATTTTAAAAATAATAAATTAAATTGTAGCCCATTGTGCTTAGTTTTTCGGCCAGTACGGCCGACTCAGTTTTACTAACGTTCATTTCAGGTCCTCCTGTCGAGGTGGGCGTCACGATGTACGTCTTGAGTATCAGCTCGCTATCAGAAGTCAAAATGGTACTACCTTAGGTCTTTAACAACTTTTCAAAAGCTGAATCAATCACACTTCCTTCACTTAATTATTGACAAAAAAAAAATAAACAACTCAATCTAGTCGTATTCAACTCTTGTTTAATTCCAAAAAAAAACCATAGATCCGCATAAATCATTTTAAAATTAACTGTTATCGAACAACCATTATTCACGTACGTCAAATCCTTTTTTTCCATAGTTTTGTGAATAACCACGTGGATCTAATGGATATCATGCAAAACTCTAGAACCAATGTTTTCAGATGATATTTCATACAAAGTATTAATCACTGGTGATTAATGGCTCTCATACCAGCGATAAAAAAAATCTTTTATCCATGTATTGACGTGTCGATGAGTACAGAGTCATAGGAGCGATTTCTACACGCAGTTATAGAAAGTTAATTACATCAAGAACATTTGCGATTGGAAACGTTTGAAAAGAAACATTCGTCAATGTTGAAACAATACAATCGAGTGTAGGTTTTATTGTCGCTTATTGGTTACTACCAATTGAGACAGAAATAAAGGGTTGATTTCACCCTTGAATCTAATACTAGATACAGTTTAATTGAAAGAACTTACTCTAGAAAATGCTATAAAAGAAGAAAAGTTGTAGAAGAAGAAAATCAAGTGTCCGTTGACAAAATTAGTTCCATCGCTCCTTTGACTCACTTGAATCATCAAGATCGTTGATCTTAATTCGATATCCTACTACTACTCAATTCGATTTCACCATTTCGACACACTTCATGACCTTTAGAACCACGTGTGTCATTCTGAGTAATTTAAACCCCTTGAATTACGTCACTTTGTCTATTAGATCTAGGCAATAAAAGTTCGTATTGGAGTATTACACAGTAAAAAGAGTTGGGGGATTAACAATATACTTAATAGATAATAAAAATTTTTATTAACATCGACAGTTATTTAATTATCTCATTATGAACATTGGAGCAAATAATTTAAAATATTTATTAAAATTAAAAATATTTATAATTTCACTTGGGAAGCTGTTTTAATTTAATTATAAATATAATTAGTGAAATAAATTACAGATAAATGAATAATGATAATATTTTGTTGCTAATTCAGAATAAAAAGTGTAAAATGTAAGAACTAACCTTTTAACTGTGTAATAAATGCTCTAACGAAAATCGGATTAAAATAAATATCTTTAGATGACACATACACAATCGCACTGTGGAATAAAATCAATATTACGTAGAAAGTATAATAACTTATTATTTTTTGGTGTAATTTTTTCAAATAATAATATATTATGTATCGCACCAAACTTTACAATTTCACTTAAAATAATGTTATATATAAATATATCTTCTAAATTTTCACATCTTATTTGTGGTGCGAATCTTTTTAGTAAATTAGAAAAGTGTATGTCGTTTAGACACCGGCATGCAAATTTTAATTAAAAATTTTATTACAATCAGAATTTATTTATAAATTCATCAAGTTATTATCTCACCATTATATATATATATTTATAGTTATTAAATAATTTATTTTCTCTTTAATCAATCAATTATTCCCTTATTCAATTAAAATTATGTAAATAGTATAATTTTTTATTTCAATGTAATAATTTTATCACAATGTCAATTTATTAACAAATATTCTTTTCCTAGCACTTTTATTATTCCTTCAAAATCCTAATATTTTTTATTAACAAATAACCACTCACAAGTGCTGATTGCGGACTCGCTTATTCGTCATAGAAATAAAGAAAAAAAATGATAGGCGATTAGCGTTATTTAGTTTCTTTCGTACCGTAATATATATATATATATATATATATATATTATTTTTTTATGACTTTATATTTATAAATATTTTACAAAAATATATGTCTCGAACGCAAACAAATTGAAGTCATAAAGATGAACGAAAAAAAATTCCTTTTTGCAATGAATAAGTTAATGAAGCAATTTTGTAACAAAAGTAAACCATTTTTGCAACAAGTTCACTTATTATGTATGCATTAGCAAAATTAGAAGTTACAGCATTTATCACATTTTAGATAATGTCTCTATTTTTTGCGTTTTTCCCTCATGACAACGTTCTAGATTCGTTGGTGTTGAGAGAAGAACCTTGGCGAATTGTGCTCGTGACATATATATTTATATATGTATCTACTTTATACATACATATATACATATAAATACATATATATATAGAGGTAACATGCCATCCCATTAGACGCTAGCTGTTATGCCGCGGCTGCTGAGATGAGCTGCCCGCTGCCAGCACTGATAATCTCTCCGGCCCTTGCGCGTTTTTATGCGTCACAAAAATATACTCATACTCACTCGAATGTCGAGCATATTCTGAAGAGAAAAAAGAAAAGAGTAGAGAGCGGACGCGAGAGATAAAAAAAAATACATGAGTATAATACCTGACCTCTCAAATGAGATGGTCTGGAAGACAAGACTAAGTTGACAAACTTGCAACCAGGTCTTTCATTCTGTTTCCCTCCCGCGACACAACCTCACAATTAATTGGTACTCTCCATAACCCCCTCATTTCAATAAACCCGAAAAAATTATCTTTAAATTAGTTCCAATATTAGAATAAGTTAACCAAATTTTTTTCATCATCTTCTAGCTTGGATAACTAAAGATTTCGTTGATTTGGTTCCGTGCAGGGTGTGCGAGAAATCTCTCCATGCAACGTTTTTTTTTTCAGAGGGTTTTAATTTTTCCTAACTGATTGTTCCAAGTCCAGTGTAAAGATAAAAGTGAATTGCAATTTTTTGTATCTCAATTTCATTGGAGAAATTTGAATTAAAAAATGACACATGACTTGTAACAATCAAATGGATACTGACAATCATAAACCAAAAATAATTATCTGATTAAGTAGCTAAAAAAGGACAAATGAAGGCAGCAAGGCGTTTGGTATTTTTGTTGATTACAGGTCCACCCGTAGAAGTTGGCGTCACGATGTATGTCCTCAGCATCAGTTCAGTGTCGGAGGTGTTGATGGTACAGTGTCCCTTAATCGTAAAATTCACGTTGACTGAATCGTTCTTTCTATTCCTAAAGCTTCCTGTCTCTCTTTATCTTCTATTCCTTTTTCACTTTTCATGTCACCATCCCACTCTCTTTCTCTCTACTTTCCCATCTAAGTCGTTTGTAGGCATCTCATCCACCCATTTACTCTATCTGACATCTACTGACGTCTCCTCATCTTCCACACACATATCACCCTACTTCGTTCCCTTTTTCCTTTTTTGTTAGTTTCTAAAGAAAGTACGATCTTGACTGACGTTGATGCCTCTTGAAATCTTTGCTACATCAAAGAAACCAATTCTTTCATAATCGTATATGATTTCCAAACTTGATTGTAACAATCTGTTATTAAACAGACCCTCGACTAACTTTTTCTTCTAGCAATATCCCATTTTCTCGAGCTTCCACTTCCGTTATCATGCTGCAAACTTTCTAATGGCGGAAGTCGAAACGGAATTTTCACAAAATTTATTACCAGACTTCTTTCAAGTATATATTCATGTCTACTACCGTTATATTTTTCATTTAAGCTTTATTTAATTGACCTATATTGATGTCAAAACTAGCCTGACCAATTGATGTTATCCTTCCAACCCCAACTTGTAATTATCCTTACTTCCTTAATCACTTTGTCTGGTCTTTCATGACTACTACATTTTTTCCCTATCAAAGGAACTGAGTTATACATTTTATCCATTTTCTGCTCTAATTCCTCCTGTCTGATCGCTCACAATTCGTCTATTAATTGGCATCAACATCCACCCGATCGTACTTATTCTTCAAGGTATCATTATCTTTCCCAATCCTTCCATTTATTTTTTTTTTTTATCCATTTCAATTTGTCTCATCTCATTTTTTATTATTCAAATAATTCCTTTGAACAGAATAGGAATTTTTTAATCAGCCATTTAATTACTTTCCACTTTTCTTCATATCAAAATTTCAATTTCCTCAATTTCCAAAAAAGAAGAAACCTTTAAGTTAACGAGCAAGCTTCAATTATGACTGGGTTTTATTTAAATATTGATTTTCTTGCATTGATATAATTGTAACGTGATATTGTGAATGTCTATGTATTTTTTGTGTTTTTTTTTTTCTGTAATGTTGATGCTTGCTCGTGACTAATTAAATACAAACAACAAAATTGTGTGAGCAGAAATGTAAAGAAAAACACTAAAAATTAAAACTAGCAAGATTTTTAGCTCGACACAGCTGTTTGGTTGGCTGAACTGTTACAAGGGAACCTTGATACGTTCCACAGTCTTCGCAAGATTATTATCTCGTATATATCATCATTGTAATTGAATCTTTTTATATAATTGCGGTGTGTTATATTGCATGGCCCAACCCGCGAAGCTCGAGTTGCTAAAGCATCAGTTAAGTTTCCAATAATCTCATCTTTGTAATCACCCATTAATCAGCTTATTACTTTCAAAGTAGCTTTGGGTTCCGAGAATTACTTGGTTCAAACAGTCTTCGAATTTTCTTAATTAATTCTCTGACTCTTAATAATGATTTATCATTACTTGAATGTTCTTGAGTATATTATTATCACCTCAAGGATTTATTTCCATTTTTATTAACTCTTTCGAGGTATTTTTTTTTTTTAATGTGAGTAGTTGGTTCTTTTTTAAATGGATAGAGAGTGAGCATAAAGGGTGTGTAGTGTTTACATCACAGATTTTACAATGATTTTAATGCTTGCTTAACCATTTGGATTTGTGTATTTTAGCTTTGATTGTGATTGCAACAATAATCATTTATTCTTTTGTTTTTCAATCATCAATTTAACTACTTCTATTGAAAGCTTTTTCCAATCATTGCAAAAAAATAAATCAATAATTTTTATTTTTGTTAAAGAATTAAAAATTGATATTAAACTAGAAAAAACTGTTAGTAAATAATTAAAAGATTGATTGTTTGATTTATCCATTTTCTTTTTAATTAATTTTTGATTTAAATTTATCTTTTAGCGTTGATAAAATAAATGTAATTAATTCATAACGAAGAAAAAAATGAATAAGGTAGAAAATTTAACAAGTTCAGAATCTTAATGAAAAAATCTAAAGTTTAATAATTTTAAAATTTGTGAATACACTGGTATATAAATATACTAAAGAGCTGAAAGAGTTAAATTGCAATTTACATTATTCAACTAGCTAACGAATCTCTTGAAGCTCACTCATAATGAATTTCTATTTACCAAATGACTTTAAAGTGAATCAAAAGCACTGGCTCGCTCTTCTTCTTCTCACTAATCAATAAACTTCAGTTGTTTAACATTGCACAATCGATTAAAATTGAATAAATCCCTTGGTCACAGTCTATTGACTCTTGAGTAAAATAGAGAAACTTGGAGGCTTCTTGATGGTAAAGTCTTGAAGCTTCTATCGAAATCGATGAGGATAGAAATAAGAGAACATGAGCACAAAACGCTTTGTGACGCCAAAGAGAATGCATTCTTGTAGAAAGAGGAGACGCTAAAATCTTGGAACTCATGGCACTTCGATCGACGCTTCAAGGCGTCTCTTGCGCACCATTCTAACGAGCCAAACCTCTAATGGAAAACCGTTACGTTGGCTTGGACCGGAAGTCGGAGATAATTTCTCGGGCTTGGCACTCGCTTCAAATTTCATTATTGCAGTCTAACTCTCTTCCCATGGTCTTCTTTAGTTTCCAATGACCCCTCGGGTGCTTTTTCACTACATATGCACATCTCCACTCTCAATATATAGCTCACTAATTTCCTTTTGTCTCGTAAAGAGAAATTTCCACATTTCTCAACGGAAAACCAATAAAAGTAATCCGTTTATTTATTAACCACATGTCTGAAATGAGACAATTGATATTTGATGACTCACTCGAGCTTCGCAGGCCACGTAAAAATATATATAATTATGATTATTATGTATAACATTATTATTTTTATTTTTTTATTCAGACTTAGTATTATAATATTGTGTATTTATTATTAAAAATTCCTGTAGCATTCGACTGAAACTCCGGTTTGTACATTCAGATTCAAAGAATCGCTTTTGATTAATTAAGATGAATACTCTGATAAACGATCATGTGTTATTAAATTTATTTTCCCGTTGTTTTTTTTTTGGATTATTTAAGTTGTAGTTGTTGTTTTTTAACTTAAACAGTCTTTCAGAATAGGATTAAAGGTTCTGGTTGGTGGATAAATCCGACAAATCGATTGGATTCTGTTCCACGCAAGTGAAATAACATGACAAAAAAAGCTAAATAAAATGAAAAAAAGTTAAATGAATGTAGGAGAAAGAGAGAAACCTCGAGAGGTGTTTCGTGGGGCTTATCTTGGTGGTCACAAACAACGAGGACGTTTGGAACTGAATGTACGAGACTGGACCCCAGGTGTTGAGCCCTGTGCGGAAACCAAATCAAATCGACACTGTCACCTGGAACGTGACTCGCGATTTCTCTTGTTCTCCAACTTTATTGGATCCTTTTCCTCTACTAATCCTATATAAATTCTTGCTACGTTGAAATTTATCTCACAGTTTGTTCGGCTCAAAATTTTTACGCCATTAATTCATATGTATTTATATCTGTATTCTCTTCACTCGCATGTTAATACCCAACAAAAATGTGTTAATTTTAAAAATGTTAATACATATTTTTAACATTATTTTTTTACGTTAATACTCATTATTTTGTTGGATGTTAACATTTTCGTGAAGAAGAATTCATACAAAATTGCGTCCGATACACGAGGACCCGGAGGATCGCAAGGCAGCCACGTCAAAATTCATTTAATAATAAAACAAATGATTAAAACTCGAAAAGTGACTCGGGCAGCGGAAATAAATAAACATTATCGACATGCTACAAAAGTCGAGATGCTACGAAATAATATTGTCAGTGTGTGCAGTGCGCTTCTAGTCGCCGCCGCGTCATGTGTATGCTTTCATCTCTTGCATAAATTACATCATGTATTTATATTAATTATATACGTTTTAAAGATTTTTCAAGTTATATGAATGTGAAATATGTTTATCAACAAAAAAAAATGTTCGGTATAGAATATTTCATCTGATAAAAATTCTCGTAATTAATATATATTGTATAATTATCCATTATAAAGTTAAATTATTTATGAAAGAAAAAAATTGTCCGAACATTTTTTCGACAACAAAAAATTCTAAAGCTGGTAATGCAGCTTGTAAATTTATTAAACATTACACTGGCTTTTATGCTTATGCCTGTGTGCTTCTATTTACGCCTCACCGTATCCCTTATGCATAAAAAGTAATTAATTATTATTATGACCGTAATTAGTGTAAAAAATTCAGTTTTAACAATTATTTAATTTAGAAACTCTTTTTCACTTATCCGGCACGATACTATATCTATCTACTCTCATATACTTACTATCAGAATGATAAATAAAAAGTTTATCTTTTACATAAAATTTATGAGAAAAAAATTTACAAAATATATTTGATTCATTTGATATTTTATCCAAAAAATCGATCAAGTTTTTTTTCTAATGGAGATGATGAGAATTTCTCCATTCTTTTAAGCTTTACTTAGGATTTATCTTACTCCAGACTCATGTCTGACCTCACACACAGATTCAATCACAACACGAAAATACATAACCACATCTATACATTGCCCTCAACACCCTTCAAATCCTTCATGACCCTTGTCAAGGCTTTTTGCGTATTTACAGCGCATTAGTCCTGTGGGACTTTTTTACCATTTACGGTTTATATCTTTTCAAGAGAGATTATCTTGGATATACGCTTCTTAAAATACATCCAACTTTAGGGATACAACGGCTTTTTTTCTCGCTAATATACCTTATCATCATTCTTCTACAATAATGACGAGAGATAAGTAAAATCTTTTCGTACTTTTATAAAACTGTTTTTCGTACAAACGAACAATGTTAGTGAAACTTTCCATCTAATCTTAACAAGAAATCCCATTAGAACCAATTTAAA